TTTTCAGCTGTATTTGGCTGACAGGAATGTCTGGCAAGAAATTGGAAGGAGGGAGGAAGGTGAAGCAGAATCTTTTTTCCCAATCCATCCCTCAGCATCTCAGGTACCAGCTCCCCATTGTGTAAAGCACTATCTCCATCCCTATGGGGCAGGCCTGCCAGGATTCTAGATCCCTTCAGGCCACTCTGGTCCTTGTCCTGACCCCTTTGTCTAGTCAGCCAAGGGATGCTGGGCTAATCTTGAAGCATCTTAATGTCATTTGTTATCTTAGCTCTTACATGAACAGTGAAACTAAATTCCTTCATTCAATTCCTCCTGTTTCAAATACTCATGAGAAATATACTTCCTGAGTTTATACAAAGAAGAGATGGCTAACTGTTACCTTCATATGCAAATGTCAACCTAGCATGATATAAAATTCATGAGCCGCCTGTGTTTATTTTACTAAAGTTTGGAGCAGTGCTTCTCATACGTGAGCCATGCATCTGAATCACCTGGAGGGCATATAAAGACACTGATTTCTGATTTCTGAGTTCCACCTCCAGAGAACTGAAATTAGTATGTCTGGGATAGTCGTCCATAGTGGTCCAGGATTTATTTGGCATTCTTTTTTTTTTTTTTTTTTTGAGATGGAGTTTTGCTCTTGTCGCCCAGGCCGGAGTGCAGTGGTGTGGTCTCTACTCACTGAAAACTCTGCCTCCTGGGTTCAAGAGATTCTCCTGCCTCAGCCTCCGGAGTAGCTAGGATTATGCACCCACCACTTTTTGTATTTTTAGTAGAGGTGGAGTTTCTCCATGTTGGTCAGGCCTGTCTCAAACCTCTGACCTCAGGTCATCCACGTGCTTTGGTGTCCCAAAGTGCTGATTATAGGCTGAGCCACTGCGCCCGGACCAGGATTTGGCATTCTAACAAGATCCCAGGTGATGCTGAAGCTGCCAGCCTTACAGACCACATCTGAGTGACATTCCTCTGAAACTTGCTCCATTATTTAATGCTGCTTAGAAAAAGTCTGAGTTCACCCTCAGTTTTTTAAGCTTAATAGTGACAGGAGTATTCATAAGGCTATCCTTAACCTTGTAGTTTAGCAGCTTTTCCAGAATGTTGTGGCATTAGCCACCCATTGTAAATTTTCTGTTTGATCTGATGATTCCTACCTTCCTTCATTTTAGAGAAAATGTCTTCCTTTTTTTCTTTCTTTCTTTCTTTCTTTCTTTCTTTCTTTTTCTTTCTTTCTTTCTTTCTTTCTTTCTCTATTATACTTTAAGTTATGGGGTACATGTGCAGATCGTGCAGGTTTGTTACAAGTGCCATGGTGGTAGTTTGCTGCATCCATTACCCTGTCATCTATATTAGGTGTTTCTCCTAATGCTTTCCCTCCCCAATCCCCCTACCCCTGCTATTCCTCCCTTAGCCCCCCCAAATTTCTTCTAAAATATTTTTCAGAATATATTTGTTTCCGTTTCTTCTGTCCTCTCTTTGAGGCAGAACCACCAAACTATCCATATGTTGGCCTCCACTATGGCTCCCTCATGCATGTTGGTTCTCCCAGCTTTCATGTACTTTGGGAGAAGCCCTGCTGAGCCCAGCTCTTCAAATAATTGATGGATTGGGAATGAAACTAGGCACTCTGTTAACTTTGTCCTCACATACATTTCTTCAAAATCTGTTGTCTACTTAGTGGAAAGTAACTCAGCTCAGCCATGGGTCAGGCTGCTTGCAAAACCTGGATCTGCATAATGATAAGTTCACGCAGGCACCTGCTATTTCTTGATCCTGCCACTGGTGTCATTCTGCAGTGAGGAACTGAGCTCATTTCCTTTCTTGGCTTTCTCGGATTGTTAAGCTCTGTTCTCCAAATTGAAGGGACCTTAGAAAGATCTTCAAAAGTTCCTGTGCTTTCTCTTCCCTCACTGCCTACAACATGCTCTGTGGAACTACATGTTGACTCTTCCTTCAACCTGGTCAAAAGTAAACAATCTATTGGCTGTCGTTTACAATCAATGTGATATGGTTTGGCTGGGTCCCCACCCAAATCTCATCTTGAATTGTACCTCCCACAATTACCACATGTGGTGGGAGGGGCCTGATGAGAGGTAATTTAATCTTGGGGGTACAGGTCTTTCCTTTGCTGTTCTCATGATAGTAAGTCTCATGGGATCTGATGGCTTTATAAAGGGGAGTTCTGCTGCACATGCTGTCTTGCCTGCCACCATGTAAGATGTACCTTTGCTCCTCCTTTGCCTTCTGCCATGATTATGAGGCCTCCCCAGCCACATGGAACTGTGAGTTTATTAAACGTCTTTTTCTTTGTAAGTTCTTTGTCTTTATTGGTAGCCTGAGAACAGACTAATACACAGTAAGAATAGAGAACACACTTGTTTTCTGAATAAACAAAGTTTTCTGCATTATGCATTAACATTTTTGTTCATTTAGGTGATTATAAAGAAGGTGTTACTTTTTATTTCCCAGTAAGTTTTATTTCCTAGTTTAAAGATAACTCATAAGGAGCAAGAGATATTCCATTATGAAGAGAGAAATAATGCAGCGTGGTTTTCAAGGAGTCAGAAGGAGCAAGGAGAACATATAAACCACATTCTTACTCTGAAGTACTTCAGAGTTTGACAGAATAAGTGGTTTCTACTTGAGATACAAGGGAAGCAATGTCCGCAAGAAAAATCCAAGTTACAGTTAAAGCAAGGAGAGGCAAGGAACTGTCAATAAAGAAGCAGTCGATGGAAAAAGGGAAGTTTGCTAATCATGTGGCTGGATTTCTGAAGCACAACTGAAAGTTTTATGCAGCACAGGAGGTAAAGAGTATTGGGCTAAGGGAGAAAATTCAGAATCTTATGGTGATACAAATGCAGGAGAGAACAGGGGACCAAAGGAGCCTATGATTTGAATGGCATTCAAAGAAACCAGGAATGCTCAGCAGAGAGAGTTGCTACTGCAGACAAAGGAAAGGGGAGGGTACAGCAGCTTCCTTCATCATATCTGATGGAGTTAGGCATCTCACGTAGTGAGCAAGAAGTCCAAATCTAATCAGTAGGTGCTCAGGAGTGGGCAGTTATCCTACCAGCTTGGACCCTGTGTTTCTGGTTCCAGCAAAGATTAAGGCATCAAACCAAGGGAGCACAGAGACCGAGAGGTAAGCTACAAAAAGTACAGCTCTTCTCTGAGGCATCCCCTACAAGATCCTGTCCAGAGACACAGGAGGAGGCAATGATGCTGGTCAGCGCTCTGTGCCATTTTGTGCTCCCTCCTACCTGCCCCCTCTTCTTGGCCCAAGTTCTAGTCCTACCTGCCGACCCACCCCCTGCCTGCCTGTGGTCATTCCCTCTCTGGTCTTTAGTGTCCTCACTGGTAAAATGAACATGACATCTCTAATCATGCGTATTCACACAGTGAGGTAGATAATGTGAAAGGGCTTTGAACACTGTAGTAAGGGAAAGAGACTAGGATACTGACTTCCCATTTCCCAATTCCTACTTCAGAACTGCTCTTCTAGGCCCCAGCCCCCTACCTCTACATTAATTAACCCTCCTCTCCAGGGCCATCTACATTAGCCCCTTGATCACTCTTGGCCTATGGAGGGTCAAAACTATATGTATCCCAAGAGCAGGGACCAATATTACAGCCCCTATTTATTTTCTTTTCATTTCCCATGATCACTCTTAAACCAAGAAACTGAGACCATTTCCCTGATTGGTGAGGCCTCCTTGCTAGAACAAAAGGGAGCATATATGCTTCATAATAAGCATTCTGTGATGAAATGTCCCCAGGAGATAAATGTGCGTTTCATAATAGGCATTCTATGGAATGTCCTGAGGAGATAAATGCTGGAGTCGGCCTCGGCACATCTCAGTTACTCATTTTGACTCGTTTGGACAAGTGAGTTTCTACAGTACTCATTTGGAAAAATGACCAGAAAGCTACCTCCGATTTCTCAGCCTCAACCCCGGGCTCCATTTCTTTCTGTTCGTTCCCGTGCTCGTGTTCCAGCCCTCCTTCCTTCCCTTACTCCTAAAACTTCCTGCCGTAAGCCTCCTCTCCAGGGCCATCCACGTTGTTCAGTCTTCCAACCTACCCGTTTGCCCCAGCTGACTGAAGTCGCCCCTTCCCAGTACCCTACCTCCCTGAACTCCCTGTCCAGCTCTTCCTCTGTTAATTCCCGAGCATCCGTGTGCCAGCGCCCTACTTGCAAGTCACCCCTTTCCCAGTTCCCCCCTATCTTTCCCCCTCACCCTTCTCGTAGCCCTTCTTACTAGTCCCCCGTACCCTAGTCCCCACCCCCTATCCAGCCACCCACAACCAGACCTGACGGATTACAAATCTCACCCTGGAGAGATGGTTTCCGTCCTACTGGGGCAGTTCTCAGGTGGTTCAGAATTGCTGAGACAGTGGATTCCCAGCAGTGACCTGGTGGACACAGGGAATCCAAGACCATGGCAAGCGAACACTGGGCCTGGCCTGCGCCTTTCCTCTCCTGCTTGGGCCGCCAGACTGCACAAGCCTCTGCATTTGAACTGGTTTCTCCACTGAACTTGGTCTGTAACCACAGAGCAAACTGCAGGACCGGGGCAGAGAAGGTAGAGGGATGAAGAGCATCGAATCTGTTATCAAGGAGGGAAGTGATTGGCCAACGTGAGGTCCAGTTCTATGTGCTTTATCTTTTCGGTCTGCAACTTGATGGCAAGCCTTTTTCCTGGCAGTACCCAGAGACGGTTCTAGTAACGAGGCTGGGTTCGTAGGTGCCAGAGTGCTGTCATAGGAATGCCGTTGCCTGGAGAGTAGTGGGGTGCCGTTGCCTGGAAGTGATTGGCCAACCTGAGGTCCAGTTCTATGTGCATTGTCTTTTGGGTCTGTGACTTGATGACAAGCCTTTTTCCTGGCAGTATCCAGAGGCGGTTCTCATAACCAGGCTGGGTTCGGGGAGACCAGAGCGGTATCCTAGGAACGCTGTTGCCTGGAGACGGAGAGGAACACCGTTGCCTAGAGACAGCGGAAGGCCCGAGGCCAAGCAAGCGGTGAGAGGACGCAGAGAGCACCGGACCCACTGAGCAGCTCCAAGGCCATGGCGGGACGCCCGAAGGAGAGGGTGGTCACAGATGAGGTCCATCAGAACCGGATCTTGCGGGAGCTGTACCTCAAAGAGTTGCGAACCCAGAAACTCTACACACAGTACCACGTGAATCCCCTGCGCAAAGTTCACAGGATTACGAGGAAGCCCATGTCTTGGCATGATAACCTGGAGGAGCCTGCAGATGCTAGGTTTCTGAATCTCATTCACCACGCTGCCCAGGGGCCAATGAAGAAGTACCCGGAGGCACAGACTGAAAACCAGGAAATTGGGTGGGACTCAGAGCCCTTGATCGACCCAGAACGCAGTGACCACAGGCTGAACCACTTCAGGGTCTACAATGACATCACTCTGTACAAAGCTAAAATGTGGAGCTTGGGAGAAGATGATCGCCACAAGTAGCATCTCAGCGGTGGAGTCAGTCCCTGGAATTAATGTCCTAAGTATCCACTGCCTAGAAAAGTAAATATTATTTTAACCCCCCCCGCCCCCTCTTCCAAAATTCATGGATAATGGCAAAAATTAGGAAGCATGAAAAATATGCAGAAGAAGGAAATAAAAACTGACATTATCTCACCATATGGAAGTGACTAATGTTAGCACTTTAAACATTTCGTTTTTAAAATTGACAATAAATTGCATATGTTTATTGTGTACAATGTGATGTTTTGAAAAATGTATACATTGTGGAATGGTTAAATTGAGTGACTTAAAATCTATTCTCTTAGCAAGTTTCAAGAATACGGTATGTTCTTACTAACTGCAGTCACTACAGTGTAGACAGCTCTCTTGAACTTATTCCCCCATCTAACTGAAATTTTGTATCCTTTAACCAACATCGCCCAATTCCTAACCCTAACCCCAGGTAATCACCATTCTAATGTCTACTTCTATCAGTTCGACTTTTTTAGATTTAGAAAATGTGGTATGCCTACTTAATGGAATACAATTCAGCCTTAAAAAAAGAAGGAAATCCTGTCATTTATAGCAACGTGGATGAACTTGAAGGACATTATGTTAAGTGAAATAAGCCAGGCACAGAAAGACAAATACCACATGATCTTACATGGTGAATCTAAACATGTCAACATTTTTGCACACTTCTATATTTTTCTGTGTATTTCAACTTATTGATCTTACATTTTGATTAATAGAAGATTGTAAGCATATATTTTCAGACAGGTGGAGAGAACTGGCAGAATATAATGCTACTTACATGGCATGAACAAAGATTTGATTATGCCTTTTGTCCCAGTGTAATTATGAATAGGGCCTTCCTTCACCCTCGAAAGTCTTAGTGTAAGCAAGGCTGAAGAAAGTTGGGGGAAAGGGTAGAGTTTTACAAGGAAGTTAAGGAAAGTTAAGATAAAGTAAGTTGAACAAAAATAGTAAAACATTATACTGTCAGTTTTGAAGCTACCAAAATAAATTTAACAATATTTTAAATAATGCTAATTAATAATTTAAAATTTGGGGGCCAGGCACGGTGGCTCACATCTGTAATCCCAGCACTTTGGGAGGCCAAGATGGGCAGATCACGAGGTCAGGAGTTCGAGACCAGCCTGGCCAACATGGTGAAACCCTGGCTCTACTAAAAATAAAAAAATTAGCTGGGCAGGGTGGCATGTGCCTGTAATCCCAGCTACTCAGGAGGCTGAGGCAGGAGAATTGCTTGAACCCCGGAGGCAGAGATTGCCGTGAGCTGAGATCACGCCACTGCACTCTAACCTGGACAACAGAGTGAGAATCAGTCTCAAAAAAAATAAATAAAATTTGGGAAGGAGCAGAAAGCAGGAGGGAGAAGTCTTAAGTGAGTTAAGTTCTCATCTTAGATGTTGCCCAAACAGGAACAATGACTCCACATAATAACACCCAGCTACTCAATGGAACTGCTCTTATGGAAACTCCATGGCCACTTCACACTATCCCTTCACACTTCTGATGTTGAGAACTACAGTCTAGTTTATACCTAGACCGTAGAACCTCATCTCTACCCACAGACTGGCTAGAGCATGCCATGGTCCCAACGTGCTAATTTTTTTCTAAGTTTTACCTAAGCAGTATGTTTGCTTAATAAAAACTAGGTCACATACGGGTTCTTAGTTTCAAGAGAGTATAGGAAATGAAATATAGGGTTTTTTGTTTGTTTGTTTTGTTTTGTTTTTTTAGTTTGCTAGCTTCTGAGTACGGGAAGGCAATAGGAGCTGTTGGAGTTTGCACTGAGTGAGCCAATTTGCAGGATTTGCCGTCATCTACTAGCCTAAATAACACCTGTTGACAATATTTTAAAAAGTAAATATTGTACATCCATAAAATGAGAAAATTTATACAGTAGAACAGGCATAAAATAAAAGGTAAAAACTGCTTTTTATTACCCTTTTCATTCTCTCTTTTTTTATTAGTTATCTATTGCTGCACAACAAATTACCCCCAAATTTAGCAGCTTTAACATAACAAAGCATTATTATGTCACAGTCCTCAGGGGTCAGAAGTCAAGCGGCTGCTTACTTAGTTGGTTGTCTCTGGCACGAGGTCTCTGAAGAGGTTGCAGTCAAACTGTTGACTGGAGCTTCAGTCTCATCTAAACACTAGATGAAGGGAAAGTCTTTCAAGCTCACTCATCTGGTTTTTGGCAGAATTTAGTTTCTCATAGGCAATGGATCAAGGTCCTGAGTTGTTCATAGACTGTTTCCTGCAGGCCTCTCCTGGTTCCTTGCCACAGGAGTCTTGCATAGGGCAGCTCACATTATGGGAATCGGAGTCCCTCTGAGTGAGCAGATGAGAGAAAACGGAAGAGAAAACACCCAAGGTGGAAGTTACAGTCTTTCTATAACCTCATCTTGGAAGTGACATCCATTGCTTCTGCTGAATTCTGTTCATTAGAGGCAAGTTAGTAAGTCCAGTCTATACTGGAGCGGAGGGAACTGCACAGTGGGGTGAACACCAGGAGGTGGGGGTGTTTGGGGGCCATCTTATAGAGACGGCCCGTCATGTCCCTTTCACCCAAAAGCAACCACTGTTAATAGTTTCTTATCATTCCTCTCAAGGAAAAACAAAAAGAATTGGATTTAAACCAATTATCCAAGAGTAACCTGGAAGTGTTCCAACAGTTACTGCTAAGATCTAAATGTCAACCATTCCTAAGTAGCATAAATGTCATCCTAGCCAAGTAGACCAGATGAGCATTGAAACTCACAGCTTGCATTCAAGTAAAAAAGGTAAACAGTATAGCAGAGGTAACATGGTGAAAGTGCTCGAGCATGTGTTTACATTTTCACAAATGAAAAAAAAAATCAACCATAGGACATATGGGCAATGCCTTTTTGAAAAATAAATTTGCTCAGAAAACATCTTCAACCCTGCCTCCACAAGCATTGACAGAGAAGCAAAGTCACTACTCCATGATGCTGGTGTGCTCTTAGTCCATTGTATAAATGACAGAGACTGGTGTCTGCTAGGCCAGGTACCACACCTGGCCTCACTCAGTAATCACAGCCAGCTTGCAAAAGTGGTATTAACTCCCCTTCAAGATGAAGAAACTGGTTCTGAGATGTAAGTGACCTGCTGACATTCCAAGCCAAAGGTCTATCTGGTTTCAATGCCTTTCTTCTGTCCACTTTACTCTCCAATGGCCAAGGTCTGTTTTGGCCTCTCTTCATTACTGATTTTCAAACTGTTCCTCAACTTGAGTAGGCAGACAGTTTCCTTTATCTGCTTATTCAGAAGGAGAGCTTTCAGCTTTCACCTGCCAACTCTTCTCCAATATGAACAAGGATTTTTGAAATAAGGACCACAGGCTTCTCATCTGGTTCCAATCCATCTAGATATGTGATGCCTCACAAGGTCTGTTTCTCTTACAAAGAGTAGCAAATATTTAGAAATCATTCTTAAGCTATGTACACAAACAGCAGGACATTAGGTCCTGGCTTTTGTCCTGTTTGAATTTAAATTAAGAAAGCAACTAAAAATAGATGGAAGGCTCAGCTATTTGGGGGATAAAATCTACCACAAATAACACTTGCAGACAATGTCCAAACATAACCAATAAACCATGTAATTATGTTAGAGAGACTGCTGGGAATTTGAAAAGACTAGACGCTGTTTGATTTTAAATTTGAACTATCGCTGTCTTTAATGTGTTACATAACACTTCATGATTAAGCATTCATTTAACAAATATTTATTAAATTTAGTACCAGGCAGAAGAAGTGAAAAAATAAACAGAAGCATCTTTGGGATTCTAGAAGCCTAGGAAACAGAGTAAGATGATCATATAAAAATGTATACCGTACTCTTAGAAGGTATTTATTCTAAAATTCTTAGGTTTTCATAAGGTACTTCCACCAGACCATGCTAAGCTTTTCTCCACCTTTCCCTCCCCTCGGCCCTTCACTCAGGGTCAGTCACAGTGGATTATCTGATGAAGAGTTTAGAAGAGAAAAATGGACTTCTGTCTTTGCCTTTCTTTCTCTCCCCTCACTCCATTCCTACTGTTAAGCTCTCTGCTACTCTTCTTCCAGGTAGCAGCTTAGTGAGGCAGGTTCTTCCCATGTGGAGGGAGTATAGTTTAGACAGAAAAGTGGGGTACTAAGCCCCCATGACCACACATAAGTCTGACCTGCCAGAGTGCAGTCTATCCGTAATGGAGCTGGTATTTTCATTTCCATCTGATGTCACTGAATGTACATCCAAGTTATCTGGAGTCATCGTTAAAACTAACAGTCGTCTTCACCTCAGGCTCAATGAATCTCTGGAGGTATGGGAATTCAATAATGTGTCTCTCTTTGAACTAAGCAAGGAAGAGTGATGTTACTTTCTGTGCCTCTTAAAACTCCAAGAAAAAACAAGATTTGTGTTAAGTATTATAAGTGCTGTAAGACACCCACCTCTTCACAGTGGACGAGTAAGGACCTCACAGAGCAGATGTTACTGGGGCTAAATGTTGAAGCATCTGGAAGTATAAAGGCAAGGAGGGCAAGAAAAAACACTCTAGAATATGAAAAGTCACTGCATGAAAGTACATGTCACAGTAGGAAAATGGAAAATAGTCTGTGTGGCTTCAGGGTACAGTGGGCTGCAGGAGGTGGTGAAATGTGATTGGTGCTGCATTGTGAAGGGTCTTGTAGGGACAGCATTATTCAATTCCTCTACCTGCAGGGATTCAGCAAGCCTGAGATGGAGACCACTATGTGTTAGTTTTAAAGACAACGCCAGATAACTGGGATGTACATGCAGCTTCGGGAACCACTGTTTTCCAGGCTAAGGAGGGTGAGCTTCATCTCATCCATCCATAATGCAAGGTCATCAGAGGGATCTGTAGAGGGATGCAGATGTGATCAGTGTGGTGGCAAAAACAGGTAAGGAAACTGCTGTAGGAGTTCAGACTGGAGGAAATGAAAGGCAAACCACAGCAGTTGGAAAGAATGGGAATAGAGTCTAGGTATGATTTTGAGGAAAAAGAGACAGGACTCTGGCCAGATGTGTGGGTAAGGCATGTGGTGCTGAAGGAGGATGAGGAGGACGTGAAAGAGAGAAGGTGGGTGGTACCATGTGGGGATATTTTGTCCCATAATCCTGCATCTCACTTCATCCCTCCTCTTATTCATCCTCATGGAAGAAAGAGTGGCTGATCTCATCCGATCAGATCTGAGCA